AAATGGAGAAAAGAAAACTTATTGATCAAGACTCGTGACAGCACAAAGATGTCCTAAAGTAAAATTTTATGTTATTAACTGCTGCGACATATTTAGACAATCACTCTATAACACAAGCGATCAAACCACTTGTGCAGTAATCAAAAGCGATTTTCAAAACTGTAAAGTCTTACTCCAGAATAATATCTCAACAAAATAATTTTATATTCAATTTTTATAATGTGCTACAGATGAAAAATTCCGTTTATATTTTTTCAAGACAAAGAAGAGATTTATATAAGCCATGAAATATAAATTCCAATAATGATTCATAATTTAATTGAATTAAAACTGTGATTTTTATGAGGTTTTATGGTTTAATTATATCACCGAGTAACTGAATTGTTATTTTATACTAGCTAGTTTGACCAAAAAATAAATTAAAAAATGAATAAATAATTTTTTTTTCTTTAATAAAAAAAGGGTCTAAGGTCCAATCATATACATTTTAATATTTCCGTGGGAAGATGTGATTCAAATGCTGACCTTCCACATTAATTTTATACTTTTTACCACTTGATCATCTTATCTAATTTAATTATTACTTTCAAATAATAAATTTGATATATATCTAACAATTCCTCTCGGATAAGTTTGCTTTTATTTCACTTTTAACTTCAGGTTAGACATAGCCCCTACTTAATATATATTATATTTTCTCTTCGTTATTGATAAAACATATCACCTAGTGACGTTAAGACGTGTAAATTAAAATAATATAAATTGCAATTAAATAATGCCTTCACGTTGACTTATGAAAACAAGTATACTTCAAGTATTTCTTAATATTAAATTCATATTATGTTAATATATTATTTGAATAACTTTAACATATTTACTGTAGAATATGGAGATATGACGGTCGTTAACATGACATGTACAGTGAATTTGGAAATTATTTTTTGATATTGAAATCTAGACAACTTGCAAGAATATAAATAGTTATTTAGTGAGGTCTTACATATATAAATAATTTATGATTGAACCGCCTATCACTACTTACTAAACAAAAATAAAATATGTAACATACGAAAAATAATTGAGAAGGCATGGCATAACACAATGATGAGACCCAATGGTGTAGGTGTATTTCATCATGGGTTGTACATCTTTAATTTCATTTTTATTTTCGTCGGTTCAGTCTGAGAGTCGTTAAAATGTGTAAAACAATTCTGTTAGGTTTTATTGTAATAGGCTATTCTTGGACAAAAATATAGTTATAAAAAAGATGTAAAAGTTAAAGAGTTATTTAGGAGGATGTACAAGTCAATTAGGAGTCTTTGAGTTCGAGTATGGAATAAAAAGAAAAAGTAACAGGAATAATACTAGTTGGCCGCCCCTTAAGCGTTCGAGCGCCACCTTGAAAAATTCAACAAGACCATTGCCGCTCGCCAAGTGCTAGGTCACCGCTCGAGCGGCACACCTGTTGCTTGCTTAACGCCCTCTTGGTGCTCGAGCGGCGTTGATATCCGAGAACAATCTATTTCGTGATTTAAATAAATTTTTGAGTTCTAAACAACCTTAAACACCTTCTACTATATATACCCAAGTTATATTCCATCTATATTGGTGGTTGATCATTATATTCTTCCTAGAAAACATATTTTAGAGATCCTACACCAATTCCTGACATTGAGATCAGTCAAGCATACTTTGGAAAACTTCAATCCGAATTCTCAAAATACCAAATCATCCACTTTCGTATAACCTATTAGAGTTCTGAAGATCGATGAAGGAAATCGGAGTTCCGGTTGGACAAGAACAAAGAGTTCTTGGTGTGATCCACAGGAGATAAACGACTCTAAAAGGCCAAAAGTTAGTGTAGGAGCATGTAATCCAGGATGGGCTTGATGATTATTGGAAGTAGGTCAGAGAGTATTAGGAGTTAGGCGAGTATAGACCGTACAGTAAGTCAATTGTCTATAGTGGATTTTATTGGTTTCGGGGCCGAGTTTTTTGATCCTTTGTGAAGGATTTTTCTTCGTGATTAATTATTATTGTTATTTAATTTATACAAATTATAAATAGTGGCAATTTAACATAGGACAGACTTCCATGTGAATTTATCTGGATTAATTATTATTTGTGACTTATTGATAATAATAATTGGCAAATTTAAATTCCACATTATTCACGTATTCACCCCTTCTAGATGTTAGTTGGACCGAACTTCGTTATTTCAAATTTATTTTTTTGGTTGGGCTTAGTTTAATTAAAAGCAAAAATTGATATGAGGGAGCCCGAGCCTGAGCACGGCCTGTATTATGGAAGAACATACGGGGCACAGTTCAATTTACATGTCCAATTTATTGAATTTCTAAGTAGTTTTCCAAATACAATAACATTATGGCTTTGGTCATTAGTTTCAATGACCCTTAAAAAAGTTTCAATAAGGTGGCCAACAGATCTCAAAGTCTCTCACATCCATGCAAACTGGATTTCTGCACATTTGGACAAACCGTTAGGCACATGTGGCCTCCTTCGGTAGGGGTGGAATTGGCTACGCACTCCGACGGTCAAGTCAATTTAAGAAGTAATTATGGGTGTGGGTGAGCTTAAAACATGAGCCTCTGATAAGAGAAAGGGGTTCGGCTTTGGGAGATGAATGAAATAAATATAACTTTAAGAGTCTAAACTTGCATTACCTTTGAATGACACCAAGAATGAGCTTTTATACTTGGGTTTGGCAGATAAGGGTTGTTAGATGACAATACTCGTGGCTCCTCCAAATAACTGACCTTTCTTGTCATAGGTATCAATCAGTCGCAGCCTTAAATGCACCCCACCTTGTGGCTGTAGACTTGACCAAACAAATAAGAGACGACAGCGACGTCAGTGACACGTCTTGTCAATCACATATTGCAAGATCTGCTTAAGATCATCTCACTACCTCACTTTGGCTAGGCTCTTCCCCCTGGGTTCGCATGCAATGTGGTCGGCCAACATCTACACACGGGGTCGCTCAAACTTCTTAAAGGGTAGTCCGTATGGGTTGGTTCGTCCCATCAGAGTGCTGAATGTGGGTTCTTTAACCGCCTGCTACGTACATTGATTGGGGCTACGTGTGGGTCCTAGTTTAGCAAAGTGTAACAACAATCCCCGAAGTCCAAGTATGATTATTCATATAATGCATGGACTTTCGAGTGGAAGTGGAGGGATGGGCCTCTCCATGGGACAAAGGTCCATGATAAAGTTGGGCGGTACGGAGCGAAGCCCTTGGAGTAAAATGTTGAACCCCTTTGATGAAACTAAAGCCTGTGATGAGGCTGGGAAACTCGAGGCGAGGCCCTATGAGAAGACGTCGAGCCCCTTTGATAAAACTAAAGCCTGTGATGAGGCTGGGAAACTTGAGGCGAGGCCCTATGAACAAGACGTTGAGCCCCTTTGATGAAACTAAAGCCTGTGCCGAGGCTCTATGAGCTCGAGGTGAGGCCCTATGACCGAGATGTCGAGCCCCTTTGATGAAACAAAGGCACCCTAGGTGGCGTGCTCTAATGATTTGAAAGATACGTTGATTCCTAATTAAAAACAACGTTGGTAGGTTTTCCAAAGTTCGTATTACGTGCGCATTTAATGCGTAATGATGATGGTGTCTTATGATTAAGCGAGGCTCACGCGATTCCATGCAGCGTGCAACCCATGGCTTCATTTGAGCCCTTTAAATTTTGAGTAAACGTCGTTTGGTTTCAACATGTTCAATGCAAAGGCAGATGTGCAGTCCAGATTGTAGTGAGAGAAAACCAATGGTTGAGATTCACTCATCCTATATATAAAAGGAAAAAAAAATCATTTTTTCTTCCCTTTTTTCCTTCATCTTGGGAATCAAAATCTCCAAGTGTTGAAAACCCCTAAAATCTTTCAGCACCTCCTTCATCCTTTCTTCCGAAAACTGATTCCATTTTCTTCGTCTTCCAGCATCCCAAACTTGTGTAAGTATCTAGTATTTTCCTATCTTTCATCATATTCACGTGAAATGGCTTCCTCTTTGAAGAATGGTGCGTCTGGGGGGTATTTTGGAGTGGATATGGCACTGATTTGTGCCGAGGTGGGTGTGCCTCCCATAATTCCCACTGGAAGGATTATGGAGGCTATGGTGGACCCTCATAGTGCATAGATGATGCAAGAGGGTCCCATAGACTATAATGTTGGGTGGGGGACCTCCTTGTGGGTGACTGATATAAAAGAAAGTGAGTTGGAGACTTTTAGGGAGAGGTATAGGATCCTAGACAACATTGAGATGTTAGTTCCAACCCCTAAGGAGAGGGTGTGCTTTCCTAGGAAGGGGTGTGTAGCCGTGAGCGAGACGATTCTGAGTAGGGGGATGAAACTGCCTCTACACCCCTTTTTTAGGTATATCCTTAGGCAGTTTAACTTAGCCTCCACCCAATTAGTGCCAAATGCATGAAGCCAATTAGCAGTGGCCTTCCTTATCTGGAAATAGGTCACTCATGGTGAGGATATGCCTCTTCACGTTTTCCAAACCCTTTTCCAATACTGAGCCTCAAGGTGGGGGAGGTGACTGCAAGGGGTGGGGATTAAAGTTTTATGATGCATATTAGGCCCCCGTTTGGGCCACCTTTTTATCTCATTAAAATGAAAAATATGATCGTTTTCCATCACATCAACATTTAAATTCAAATTTTCTATCTCTTGTATGGGCCCAATAACGGCTATATTTTTCATTCTCATTCTACAAAAAGGTGGCTCAATCAGGAGATGTCATGATCGAACTGACGTGACCTTAGAAATTCAATTTTCTCTGAGTAGGTAGATTATGTTTACAGAACATTGTAATCCACCTGGAGTGTGAAGAAGCTTGAGCATATTATGGTTTGTAGCACAATAAATCAATAATGTACTTATTTTATTAATCACATCCTCTGTCACAGACCCTCTATGCTATAAAAAGAAGTTGAAATGTAATAATTTAAAGATTAGTGGCATTTCGGTAATAAGGATGGATGGCATTCGACAAATTAAGATCCAATAATCTTGTCCGTTATTGTGTCTAGTGTTACAAACCAAACATGATCTAGCTGTTCAAGCACCTTTTGCTCCTTTAAACCTCTAGTTTTGCACATTTGTCATTATTTGTATAGAAACAAACTACACATCCCAAATCTCCTAAGCTTGGAAGGAACAAAGGCACTACCTCTACAGTTAGCAACTCCCTCGAAAATGAAGGATCATGTATTATTCCACGAGTCACTACTGGCAACTCACCAAAGTCGACTCCCAAGGTAAATGGTGTCAAGAGTAATGCTGCTCTCAAGAAGTCCGTAAAAAACTCCCAACCCAAGTCGCATTACCGGGAATCTATTATTGATAAAACTCAAGAAAAGCCAAGCAAAGTGAAATCAAAAAATGCAGGAACTGAGGCTCAAGATGAGAAAACTTGTGCTCAGAACTCCGAAGGAATCCCCCCAAGTCAACCTGTTTGTTACCCTGAAATCGAAGATGGGATGGAAAAGAGTTTTGAAAAGAATTCTTCTAACAATCGATCATCTCTGGCTTCAATACCAGACTGCTAAAGTCACCGTTGAAGGTTAAAGGAAGTATATCATCTATAATTTCTGTTCCTCCCAGGATTCGAATATTAAAGCTCTATTATTGTGAATAACGTGGTTGTATGTTCATGTCCAGTTATATATAAGTTGTCTACAGTCTTATATAGTCGTTTGTTTTATTTATTAAACTTTAAGGAGTATTCATATATACTCTATGGCTTTTGGTGTATTGCATTGGCTGCATATATTGTGTTAAACAATTCGTCTCTTTTTTTTTTTTTTGTAATATTTGGATAATTCAGAAATTGTCTACTGCTTTTATTTGTATAATAGATTCATAAGCTTACTTTCCAAGTTCATTACTTACCATTTCTACTGTACTAAACTAATCTTCTTATTATAAAGTATCGACAAAACATCTCCATTCATCCAACTTATGCCTACATTCTATTCAATTCCTCGTTCATTATTAATAATCGAACTTGTGTCACCATCGGAACTTAAGACACTTATATTCACAAGAGTGATGTTGAGAGAATAAATCAAAAAAAGGGGTAGACCAAAATTTAAAATCATGTTATGTGTTAAGCCCATTTGGAAGAGGTTATTTATGTAATTGTACACATTGATCCTCACACATTAGGTGTGATCTTGCTAGTTCAGCTCATGTATAAATAGAGGGTTATTGATCTCATTTTGTAATTTTTGAATCCATTCTAAATAGAATCTTTTTCCCCGCCATTTATTTCATCTTTTTCAATTCTCTGCAAATCTTCGTGGTATCAGAGCAAAGTGTTACCGCCCAGAATGGGAAGTTCCAGGTCAGTATTCCGCGTAGATGGCCACGTATTCCCTTTAGCCAGGTGGATAGAAAGCCAGTTGAAAAGTCAATGGAGGAGCCAACACGGGCAAGGTCAACAAAAGGCTCATAGATCTGAAGCTCCTTCATGTGAAAGCAAAGGCTTATAGATCCGAAGCTCCTTCATGTGAAAGTAGAGGCTCTTGAAGACCAAAGTACTGAAGCTTAACGCAGACGTTTTCTCATAGCAGATTGGAAGATCTCTCAGAACCGATTGACGTGACATCCACCATAAAATGTCTGTAGCATTAATGTCTGTCAGTAAGTCAATCTACAAAGTAGAACGGCGGATCTTCTGCAAAACAATAATTGTAAAGATTGGACATTGATGTGAGGCTTCAGTTTAGGGGGNTGTGAGGCTTCAGTCTAGGGGGTGTTGCCATGTAGATTTGATCTAACGGTCACCACGTCAGCTATATTAGTATAAATAAACCTCTCATTGTATAGAAGGGGAGAGGAAAAATGACAAACGAACATATCCATGTACTTTGCTTTGCTTGATCTTGAATAATACAACTTATATTGAAATCATAACACATTACAAGACATTGTCTTTTATCTATCCTTCAACATATTCCATTACAAAACCGATACTCATTTTAGGGAAATCGATCGAGCTCTTGTAGATAGCGTAAGAGCCGTTTAAATCAAATCACCGGAGTTTGAATAGTTGTGTCTCTTGCCGGAAAGCACCTCCCGCATTCCATCCAACCATACTACCACTCTTGTTCCGGTAGAAATGCGTTGGATCATTGCTTGAAGTGGCAAGGGTGGGCCCGGTATTTGTTGAGTTCATTTTTTGGGGTCAACAGATTGGCCCCGTCTATGGGAGATTTGATATTTTAACCACGAAACACGCGTGGAAAAATAAAAAGATACATTTCCGAGAGAGTTTCTCATCCTTGAAAAAGGAATATCCTTGAGAAAAGGAATCGGCAAAGAGCTTGAAACCCCTTGAAGAATGGAACCAAGTCGTACATCACGAAATCAAAAAATGAATTCTACTAACGAAAATGCCCCTAGAAGGACGAGGGAACACCCTGAAGAAGGAGAACCCTCACGAGCTGTCCCAATAGCCCAATCGAGACCTTCAATGCGCAAAAGAGGAGGTCCTAGGGGCGGAGGTGGAGTTGCAGCCAGGTTAACTAGAGAAATGGCAACAATGGCTGCCAACATGAGGAACATCACTCAGCAGAACCAAGCCATGCATGAAATGTTCATGCACATGCAAGAACAAAGAGGCTATCAAGCTCCACAACATACGGCTCCCGAAGATGTATTCCCCGACACTCAAGCCTATTACCACGAGGAGGAGGTCCAGAGCCAAATGGCAGGACATCGCCCTTACGGGATGGAAGCTCCTCAGGAAGACGAGGATGAAATGGATTCGTCTAACAATCATGCCTTGGAAAGGCTGCAGGAAGAGAGACCCCAAAGGTCGGGAAGCGTCTTCGACAGGATAAGTCCAAGAATGGCTAGAAATAGGCGAGCCAATCCACCTCAAACACCTAGCAATAGGTATGACTATGAGGTACCTCTTGTTCGTCTTCCTAGAAATAGGCACAAAAGGCGGGAACAAGCCAGAAGCGAAGCAGGAACTTTCCAACCACCTCACCTGATCAATTCAAGGGAAGAAGAGAACCCTGATGAGCCTCAGAAGTTTGCGACCTCGATGATGATAATGAGCACTCCCCTTTCTTCGATGCCATAAGGAGTGCACCCATGCTAAGCCACTTTATACTCCAAAAAATCCAAAAGTACGATGGGAGAGGTGACCCCACCAAACATATGAATAATTACAAGACACATATGAATCTGAAAGGGGGTCACTCCGACGATGAAATGTAGGGCCTTCCACTTAACCTTAAGTGGAGAGGTAAAGATCTGGCATGCTAGACTACTAGAGGGGAGCATCCGAGTTGGCCAGAGTTCAAGAAAACTTTCTTGAAGCACTTCGCAACCAGCAAAGAGGGGGAAAGACCCATCCAAAGGTTGCAAGATATGAGNTTGCAAGGTATGAGGCAACAACAAGGTAAGTCGCTGAAAAGTTTTACTTGGCGCTTTACCGATGAAATGACATATTGTGTGCAAGTCACGGATAAGAAAGCCTTGACTGCCTGAGAAGAGGCCTAGACATGGACTCTCTTTTCTGGAGAGATGTGCAAAATAAAGAACCTGCCACCTACGATGCGCTATTGGAGATGATAAGGCACGAGATCCTGAATGAGGAACTCAAAGATCACAGGAACATGGTCAGTCAAGGTCTGCCACCTACGCAAATGCGAAGGGGAAGAGGTCCAACCTCCCACTTGATGGACAATCAAGCCCCTATGAATCACGAACAAGAGCTTACTGCTGCAACACTCAGTACAGTGCCAACACTGGCCTACGAAGAGGTCAATCGTGGGGCTGAAATGCGCCAGCGTTAGCCCTACCTAAGGAATCTACAAAGGGGGAGAGGTAGGGGACGAGGTGCTGAACCTAGAAATAGAGAAGAAGCACAGCAATACTGCTTATATCACCAATCTCATGGACATCGAACAGAAGATTGTCGAGAAGCCGTGAGATTTCTCCCAAGGAATGCTCCAAATAGGCAAAACCAACAAGCCCAGAATGACGAACATCGTCGGCCTAATAGGAACGACCCTCCGTGAGGAAGGGTCAACGATGCTGAAGAACCTAGGCAGGGTCGGAGGCAACGCTGAGGCCCTCCACCAGGTAATGAACACGAGCCTATTCGAGAAATTGACACAATCATAGGAGGTCCTCACGTGGGTGGAGATTCCAGAAATTCCCAAAAGAATTACGCCAGGGAAGCAGAGCTATGGCAAGCTACATAGTGAATCAATCTCTAAGTAAGAAGGTTTTACCTCCTATCATTTTTACACATGAGGACACTATGGAAATGCATTATCCGCATTGTGAAGCCTTAGTAATAAGGGTCGTCTGGCCCGTAATGGCCTGAAAATAATATTAGTGGATAATGGAAGCTCTGTCAATATCCTATTTGAAACCACCTTTGACAAAATGAAGGTTGATCACGAGCTCACCACGGTAAGTTCCCCCTTGTATGATTTTATTGGAGACAATTGCTCACCATTTTATGGAATTTCTTGTGGTTGACAATCGATCTGCCTATCATGGGGTCCTTGGAAGACCTGCATTAACAGACCTATGGGCAGTTACCTCAATCCATCACTTATGCATGAAGTTTCCTACCGAGAATGGTATTGCCACGGTTCGGGGAGATCAGAGAGGAGTTAGGGAATGCTACTTCAATTCCTTAAAGAAAGTCGAACCAAGGACACTAGTCATATTCACTAACATGGATATGGACGACCTCCCTGAACAAGGGGAAAACATCCTTATGACTGAAGCTCTTGGAAAAGAAGCAATCAACTTGGAAGAACTAGACCCTTGCATTATTGATTGTGAGCCTCGGTCCCAATGGAGGAATTGGAAATCTATGATGCCGACCCTATGGACGCAACAAAGTGTCTGGAAGTCGGAAGTAATCTGCCACAAGAAATAAAAGAGAGGTTGAAAAACTTCTTGTGCAAGAATTTTGATGTGTTTGCCTGGAAGCATGGCGATATGGTAGGGTTGATCCCAAAGTCAGTTGCAACCATCTAAATATTGACCCGAAGGCTACGGTTACTGACAAAAGAGAAGAGTCCTCAACCTTGAGAGATACAAAGCCCTGAAAGACGAAGTAAAGAAATTGATTGGCAATGGCTTCATTAGGGAATCGGTATATCCGAAGTGGGTCTCCAACCTAGTTCTGGTAAAGAAGCACAACGAGAAGTGGAGGGTATGTATTGATTTTTCAAATCTAAACCAAGCATGTCCTAAGGATAGCTTCCCACTTCCCAAGGATAGATCAGCTAGTGGATTCAACGGCTGGACATGAACTTCTTAGCTTCATGGATGCTTACTCCGGTTACAACGAGATTCCTATGTTTCCACCAGACGAGGAACACACTTCCTTCATCACTGACAAAGAATTGTACTGCTACAAAGCCATGCCCTTCGGCCTAAAGAATGCAGGGGCAACATATCAAAGGCTGGTTAACAAAATATTCGCCGACCTCATTGGCGAAACCATGGAGGTGTATGTAGATGACACGCTGGTAAAAGGTCGGAGATCATCGGACCACATTTCCCA